CGATCTGTGCAGACTGATGGAGAAACTCGACGAGTTGAAGGATAACTCGGCGAGTTGGGTCAACCTAGGCCGTTGACTTTGACTTTTGACTTATGTCTTTCACCAAGTTTGTCCCAAGGGGTGTTTGTGGTAACCTGATTTGGATTTAAGGAAAATATGGGCTTGGGATAAGACCCATATGGGGTTGGGCCTAATTTGGAAAACTGGGTCATTAGCGAGCCTTTGAGGATCTTTTGGTTTTGGGCCTCAGTTTTGGTGTACGTTGGGCCAGGGGTATGGTCATTTTACCCCAAGTATGGATTTGGTTTATGGCATGGAACGCAATTGCTAATTGGGCGTGTCGTTAGTATTGATAGCTTGGAAAGCTGGAAGGGCTGCAGGTAGGGATTTCTTTCGGGGAGCTTCTGCATTCGAGGTGAGTTTTCCTCACTGTACTTATGGGTCGAAGGCACCAATTCCGACCCTTTGGATTGTTATCCTGGTTATCGTATGCTTGTATGCTGTTATGATCTGTTAGATCGGTATCTTGGTAGATAGGATGCTGCTATGTTGTTATGATCTGTTAGATCGGTATCCTGGTAGATAGGATGATGCTATGATTATTGATCTGTATGATCTGTGCCTGCATGTTGATTGATTATGTGTTTTTTAGTTATGTATATGTCGACATGTGTGTGTGCGGTTGGGTTAAGGCGGTCCTGCTTTGTGCTGAAGGCCAACATACCCAGGGCGGCCAGAATATACTGAAGGCCCTACGAGGCAGTCCAGTCAGGCCGAAGGCCCGATGAGCGGTCTGGATAGGCTGTAGGCCCTGCGAGGCGGTCTAGTCATGCTGAAGGCTCGAGAGCGGTCCGGATAGGCTGTAGGCTCTACGAGGCTGTCCAGTCATGCCGAAGGCTCGAGAGCGGTCCAAATAGGTTGTGGGCCCTGAGAGGCGATCCAGTCAGACTGAAGGCTCAGTATGCGTGCTGTTATTTGTATATGTTATCTGGTTAGGTGTTGGTACTTTGGGGAAACTCACTAAGCTTCATGCTTACAGTTTTGGTTTATGGTTTCTGGTGCTTCAGTGGATTGTGGCAAGGTCAAGGCGTGACCATACACATCTTCGCGTTTTAGACTTATGATTTCTAGGAAACTCTGATAATGTGAACGTTTTGGAAACTATGTTGAAAGAGATTCTGATTTTTAAATAATGTTTTGGGAATAACGGTTTTTGTAAATACTTCTATAGAAAAATGGTTGTTTTGAAAAGTTTAAATTTTATGAAATTTTTGGGATGTTACAGGTACTTTGGGTGAACTCACTAAACTTTGTGTTTATGGTTTTATGTTTACGGTTCCAGGTACTCCTAGTACGAAAGGGAAGGGCCCGATGTGACTGCACAACATCCTCCAACGTTTTCCGCATCGACAATTAATGATATTGCTCTGATGTTTAAATAATATAATTATTTTGATCGGTTTTGGAACAACTCGTTTGTATGAATTATTGTTTTAAAAATGAAAAATTTTTACTATGAATTTTTGGGACGTTACATATGTAATATTAAATGTTTGTGTTTTAAAAAATATAATTTTATTAAATTTGAAAAAAAAAATAAAAAAATAGAGTGTTAGGAGTAATACCACCCCTATGAAATGCTAAGATTAAAAAAACAAGATGACGTGGCAGGCAAAAAAGTGATGTGGCAAGGTGCGATGAGTGTTACCACTCCCTCTAGCCTAACAATAACATATAGATAATGTATTAGCCATAAAATATGGTGCACGCATACTACTAGATGCAAGGAGACAGTAAACATGGAACAAATGTCAGATAATAAGGTCATCATGACCAAACATCAAGCACAAACAATGAGAAAAAATGGATGAAAATCTAATTTTTAGTTTATTCTTATACTAATTCAATACTTGTAATATGCTAATTATATGTTTCCACACCCTTCTATTTGAGATCATGTCATTGATAATAGAAAACTTCTTCAAATCCATCCTCACATTATCTTCTCACTTTTCTTCTTTGGACGTCCTCTCGTCCTTTTACAATAAACCATAACCGTCTACATCCTCTTTGTTGTGGCCTTCAGTTGTCTCTTATAAACATGTCTGAAACAGTCTTTTTTTCCTCAATTTCTTATTGACCTCTCTAACCAAACAAATCGAATAAATTACTATATTAGCCCAAAATTGAGTCTATCTCGCAACGGTTCCGACCTTGGCACAAAAAATAGCATTGAAATAATAAATCTTTAGCATTTTTTAACCTTTAACTATAATATAAAAACATCAAAATAAGACATATATTTAATATTTTGATAAATAAATATTATACTCTTAGGGTGGAAGGTGGTTGTCGTTTAAACCTCCAATGTTGTTAGACTCATGGAGAAGGGAGTGGTGTTCCCGCTAATTTTGTGTCCAACCGACCAACTCAACCTTCTCTTCTTTCACTTTTCCATGTTTCTTCCTTTATTTAGGACACATCCCTTCTTTTTCTTCATTCTTTCTCTCCAACCTTCAAGCCAATCAACTTTTTTTTTCTTTTTTTATGGTCAAACTCATACAACCCGCTCTTCTTCCTTTTAACTCCACTCTTTCCACCCTTATAGTAAGATATCTTATATTATTAAAAGTATAACAATTAGGATATTTTCTAAAATATTTATATTATAGAAATTTTCAAAAACAAAATAGTAAATTTTAAATACATCATCAACAACAACATCAAACCCATTATGCTCGTTCTTCAAGAAAAAAAAGCCATAATCTTTTGTGAAGAACTAAAGTTTTGATGTTAAGTATAGAAGAACAATCTTAAATATCTCATTTAATATTTTGCTCATTTTAAAAGCTTTCAGTTAGATTACATAATGATATATAAAAAAAAATCCATATCAATTATCTAATGATTTATGTATAAAATGAAGTTTGATATTTTTAGTGTAAATTAAAAGTATATTACCAAAATGACGTGTTACTATTCATCAAATTTATTTTGGTGATAAAAATAAAGGTTGATTGGAGCTATGAAATGCCAAAATGTTGCTCTATCGAAGTTGACAGTAGAGTTGGTCATAAGGATCAAATTCAATTACTTGATGTGGATTGTGTCGATACAAAAACGTTTAAAAAACAAACTAGTTAATTGAATCCGATTAAGTATGTAACGTCTGATTGCTGATACGTATTTTAAATAAGAATTATGTATTTTTACAAAGGGACTCGACGAGTTGGAGGCCCCAAACTCATCGAATAGGAATTGGATATGTGGACGCGGGACTTGATGTCTACTCGACGAGTCGAGGAGCCTCGACTCGACGAGTAGGTCTGCCAGAGTGAAACCCTAATTTTCAGGGTTTGCATCCTATTTAAACACCTTAACACCCCCACTATGGCCTCCCTTATCGCCTCCCATAGTCCAGAAAACCCTAACTCGAAACCCTAACCAATTTTGAGTGTTCTTGAGCCATTTTTGTGTATTCTTAGTGGTTTTGGAAGCTTGAGAGGGAAGAAGAAGCTTGGGAGTTCAAGAGGAAGAAATAGATCCAGAGGCTGTGTTCCATTTCCAGCTCTTTTGAGGTATAAAGTCTATACCTTGACTATTCATTTGTTAGGTCCCTTCATGGAGTAGTTTAGGGCTTTAAGGAACTATTTTTGGAACCACTCATGGATGCAAGCATGTTTGGGGTTAAGACTTAAGATCTGGAACCTTTGAGGGACTCCGTGGCATAAAGGTGCCAACTTTATGGCCATGGGAGTCCTATGCACCTTGTGGACCTCATTTTAAGGCCTTTTGAGCTAGATAACCCATGCATGAACGTAAATTTTGTAACTTTATGTGTGATATCGACCATATGAGGCCAAATCTATGTTTTGGATGAGTTAAACCCGACTGAAATTGACTGTATAGATTTGGATAATGGGGGACTCGACGAGTCGTTCTTAGGACTTGGCGAGTCGGGTCATGGTTTCCCCAACCTTCTCTGTTACTTAGCAACTTGTTGAGTCTAGAAGATGACTCAGCCAGTTAGACGTGTTTTAGACTTAAAGGTCAAGAACTCGACGAGTCCAAGGATGAACTCGCCGAGTCAGTGAGCAACTGTCCTGACTGTATGAAGAAGAACTCGGCGAGTCCAAGGAAGGACTCGACGAGTTCAAATGGAAAGTCCCGATTCAGTCATAAGAAGAAACTCGGCGAGTTAGAGGGTAACTCGACGAGTCAGATCATGAATTCGAGTTTCTTTGAATTATGGAACTCGACGAGTTGAGTCAACCAGGATGTTGACTTTGACTTTTACTTTGACCTTTATCCAAGATTGACCCTTAAAGGGGATATGAATATGAAGGAGTAACTAAAGGAGACTGATATGTGTAGGAGGTTGGGGAGAGTTGATCCTAGCACCGAGGACAGTTTAGTTAATGCACGACATTGAGGTGAGTTACTTTCCAATAGAAGTGGGTCTACGGCCACAATGCCCGGCCCACTAGTAGGAGTTGTTTGATTAGATGATTGTCTTTGTGATAATTATCTAGGTTTGCTACTACCTGATATGTTTTATGTGCTAGTATGATATGATGTTATGTGGTAGTGGTAATAGGGGGAATAGTCCCCGTGTCACGGTCGTAAGGACCGAAGGGTAGGTCGGGCACCCCAGAATTGACTGGCAGTACGTTTATGCTATGTTATTGTATGGTAGTAGTAGGGGTGATATAGTCCCCAAATCCGGTTGAGATAAACCGGAGGGTAGGTCGGGTAGGAATGGCAACGGGGCGGGTTCGGGGCGGGGCATGGTTTCCCAAACCTGAACCCGATTTCTAAAGGTGTACCCGACCCCGACCCGATACCCGACGGGTTTCTTATCGGGGCGCCCCGTCGGGGCTGAAACTTTCCCCGAACCCGACCCAAAACCCGATAACGGCAGGAAAGCCCGACCCTAAAACCCGAAATGTGGCAGAAAAATAAGGGAAAAACTACTAATACAGAATGATAAATTAAGATACCAAATAAGTTCTTAAATCATTTAACAAAATAGAAATCACTAATAGTCTAATATCGTAACAACAACCAACCAACCAAAACATCCAAGTACACAATATGAAAAATTAATTCATCACAATAATACATTATTACATTACCACTTAACATTAAAACAAACTTAAAATCAAACAAAATCATCCAAACTTATTGTCCCGCTTTCTTTAGTATTTTCCTACAAAATATTAAACAAACTCAAAATCAAACCAAATCATTGAAACTATATAAAATTAATATTCTTAGAAAGTGTCGTTTTACCTCTTCCACATCATAATCAAATTCAACAGAACGACAATATGCCTCGGTCTCTTCAAAACAAGTTGCTGTATAAAATTAATATTATTAATATGTAAAAAAGATTCATAATTTCATATAATTAATATAAAATAGTATACTACCTCGAATTTCATTCAACAACCAACTTTGAGCACACATTAAAGCCTCCAATGTCTTTGGATGAAGTCGACTACGATGAGGACTTACTAATCTTCCACTAGTGCTGAAAGCTGATTCCGAGGCAACAATGGAAACAGTAATAGCTAATATATCTTTAGCTATCCTTTGTAGTGTCGGGTACTTAATCCCATTTGTTTTCCACCACACCAACAAATCAAGTTCCATGTCTTTAGGCAACAATTTCTCCTTCAAGTAGTTATCCAACTCACTCATACCTCCTGATTCATCATCATCTCTAGTAATAGAAGCAATATCTGATAAGAGCTTTTTGAATCCAACACGATGACCGGAAGAGATACTATAACCAAATGAAGATGAACCGGGAATTGAACCACCATAAACACCTAATGTTTAGTATAAAAATGTTAATAATTTAAGATAATATTCTATTTATTGTATAAACAATAAGAAGAATACAATACCTTCACTCTTCCTTTTTTTAGATGCATTATTTGACTCGTAATCTTGAAACAAAGTTTTGACAAACCCCTCCAAATTTTGAAATTCAATCTTTGCCTTTTCTTCTCCATAAAGCATAGGCAAAAGTAACTCCACAAACTTTAACTTGTATCGTGGATCTAAAACCGCTGCCATTCCTCTTATCCCATGAATTACAAACCAATACTTATTGAACTTAGAAACCATTTGCTCAGCCATCACCCTAATCTCCTCAATAGGAGATTTCGTCCACTCACGCAAAGAATACCCAATCTCACATATTAAAGGAAAAAAACATTAGCTGTAGGATACTTTGAACCAGAGAACATAACAGTCACCTCATAAAAAAGTTGTAATCTTTCACAAATCTCACTAGCCAACTCCCAATCCTGGTCTGTAGGAAAACATGTATACTTTGGGTCTCTTGTCTTTACCTGATCGAAAACCTCTTTGTAGCTTATAGCAACACTCAACATCAAGAATGTAGAGTTCCACCGCGTCTTCCAGTCAAGTATCAACTTCTTTGAGTATGGTATTCCCAACTGCTCTGCTGCTGTCACAAAATTTTGCTCCCTCTTTGGTGATGCAGACCAAAATGCAACACTCTCTCTGATTCTCTCAATCTCAAATTTAATGAGAGATAAGCCATCTTGGACAATAAGATTGAGAATATGTTCTCAGCAACGCATATGAAACAAATCACCATTCATCATTAGTGATTTTAGAGGAAGTTTCTCTAATAATATCCTGATAATTGCATCATTTGTGGTGCAATTATCAACAGTAAGAGTTGACACTTTCCTATCAAGATTCTAATCACACAAAATAACATAAAGTATGTCGGCAAGAACATCAGATGTATGCGGACAAGGCATGTAAATAAACCTGTTTAAGAATATATAAATATATATGTTAATATTAACATATAAATAATAAGTATGTATAAATTGTAGTTAAATAAGTATAATATACCTCATAATTCTGCTTTGCAAATTCCAATTTTGATCTACAAAATGTGCTGTGATAGCCATAAACCCTTTTTTTTATGATTAGATGTCCACATATCGGTAGTAACTGCAATTCTACTTTTGTTCTTTGCTAACAAACTCATAGTTTTATCCCTTTCGTAATCATAAATACTTTTGATGTCGCCCTTGATGGTGTTTCGACAAGGAACCTTAAACAAAGGTTGAAGACCTCCCACATACTTCCTAAATCCATGATGCTCTACAATTGAAAGCGGATACTCATTTCAGCCAAATCCTTCCTTGAAGTATCAGCATTAAATGTATAATTTGAAACATGCGTTGTAGTACCATCTACTTTCTTTTTTTCTTGCACCAAGATAGATTGGCGAATATCTGTAAAAGGTTTGTGTATACAACGCTTATAATGTGTAAGTAAATGTTTTGTACCATTCTTGCTATCTGCACCCAATACTTTAGAACAATATTTACATCTTGCTTTAACTTCACCATTCAATTTAAATTTTATAAAATGTTGCCACGTCGGTGAACGTGTTGCCCTTTTCGAACCAACCACTTCATCTCCATCTTCATCAAAAACTGTATCATTAATATCTGTCCCATCTTGTTGATCTACAGAATCAGTATTTTGTTGATTAGAACCCGAACCTCCCACATCTTGACTACTTGCAGTTGGAGCATGATTTTGACTGTTTGAATTCATATTTCCTGAAAAATAAAAACCAATGTCATATCAGACTCAACAAATATGTCTAAATAGATTAGAATTCAGAAATTCACTCAAATCAGATTCAAATAGATAAGTCTAAACAGAAACATATTACAAATCAGAAACCATTGTTCAACTCAACCAATGTCATATCAGACTCAAGAGACAACAAATAAGTTCATTTGAAAAGAAATCAACTCATATATGCATTTGAATATCACAAAACAGATTCACCAGACAACAAATAATTTAATTTGAAAAGAAATCAATCAATATATGCATTTGAATATCACAAAACAGATTCATCGGTACAAATCAACATTATCCAAAACCAATTCATCAATCATATTTGAAATCCAAAATCAATTCATCATAAAGACGCAACTGGATTCGAGATGCTCATAAATAATATTGAAATCCATCAGAGTTCGAAATCATCAATCATATTCGAAATCATCAAAGTTCAATTAAGCATTATTCTTACCTGGATTGCCGATTCTCCAACGATTCTTCAACGAGGCGACGACAGAGAGAGGCTGCGAGGGTTGAATGGTGATGGTTGTTGGACGAGGCAATGATTTTCAGACTTCGATGAAACGAAAAAATCTTCAAGACACAGCTTGCTGGACGATGCTTGCTAGACGATGGTCGACTGGTCGCAATCGCTTGTTATTGATCGACGATGCCACAATGGTGTAATCTATTAGTCGACGATGGTGTACTCGATTAGTCGACTTCTTATTCATCGGACCATAGCTGAATTTTTTTGATTTTGTCGATTTGAATCATGAGTCGGCTGCTGGAAGAACGAAGCGTGATGCGAGATTACGAGAATGACTGAATGTGTGATTTTAGGGTTAGTCTTCCATCAGGGGCAGAAGTGTAAATATATATATATATATATATATATATATATATATATATTATATATATATATATATATATCTATATATATATATATATACATTCGGGGCGGGGGGGGGGGGGGGTGGGGGGGGGGGGGGGTGGGGCAGGCACCCCAACTCCCTGACCCGAACCCAAAAAAAATACTCGATAAAGACCCGATACCCGGCTCGATACCCGATAAGAGCGACCCGACCCGGCCCGAAAACTTCGGGAATCGGGTTTCCCCGTTGGGTTCGGGTTTTTTTGCCATCCCTAAGGTCGGGCACCCCAGAATGGCCTGGCAGGGTAGGTCGGGCACCCCAGAATTGCCCACAGTATGATTGTTATATGGTATGAGGTATGATGGGGGAACTCACTAAGCTTTGTGCTTACGGTTTTCAGTTTTGGTTTCAGGTACTTCCTCTTCGAAGGGAAAGGAGTCGGCTCGGTAGCAGCACATCACACCATTATTTTCCGCACCATGATGTTCTTGGGATTGCACTCTGACATTATTATTCCATGACATGTTCTATGACATTTGACTTATGGGTTTATGGGTTTTATATGATATTGATGATGTTTTCAGTAAACTGTTTTATAAATTGCTTAACTAAAAAACAAAATTTTTGGTCTTGAAATTTGGGATGTTACAAGTTGGTATCAGAACCTTGGTTTAAGGGATTCGGACACACCTTCGGGGGTTTCTGGACTCAAATCGAGGGTTTGAGAGATTTTTACAAGAAAATAATTTTTCTAGAGAGTAAAATAAAGAGTTTTGAGAAAGAACAAGGTGTGTGATGCGTGCAATCGGCCGAGCTCAAGTAAGTTTTCCCCAAGATACCCATACATGTTATGTTATGATATGATATGATTATGAGAACTGCATGCTAGATTAGGGCTAAGGATCTAGGAATGATGCCTCATATGCCTATTGTATGTGTATGAGAACTGCATGCCAGATTAGGGCTAAGGATCTAGGAAGATGCCTTATGTGTCTGCCATATGTGCTTACTGAGTTACATGATAGGACTGATTAGTCAGTAATATGATGACCTGAATAGGATATGCTTGGTATGGTTACTCAATGCTCGAATGTTGCTTGCTTTGTGCTTTTAGGAGTTCTAGTTATCTTTAACTAACTAGTAAACGAATACGTTAAGTTACATATTGCAAGGACAAAATAATTTCAGAAGGTTAGGTCTAGCCCTATTGAGCAGCTCTTGTTTGAGTCCAACCGTTGTAGGGTAGGATCTCTCATTCGAAGAATTATCTGGTCTTAGTGATATGTAATGCTATTGGCAAATTAGTTCGGTAAAGGTAGCAGGGATTCCTTATGCAGCTGATGGTGGAGAGTAGGTCGGAGAGTTACCCTAGGGTAAGCCTAGGATGAGATTCGTGCAGGGAGCAGTAGTAGTAGGAGGGACTTGGTGAAGTGAAGGCAATCCTTGAGGAAAGTACAGATAGATGAGGAAGGTAGTATGGGCCTGTACTACTGAAAGAAGAGGATACGTACTCGAGTCAAGGATGGCTGAGATAGAACCAGGGAACTTGTAGAATGTATGAGACCTCTCGAGGTTATGTATGACCCTAACGATTATGTGTTTTGTTTCAGAATGGTGGTGATTACGCGACACGGAGGGGGAGGTTCAGGGTCAGGATCAGGTTCAGGATCAGGTTCGGGATCAGGTGTCGAGCCAGTCGATGAAGGACTACGTGAGTTCATTGCTTCTGAGATCACGAGGGGCGTCCTTGAGTCGACCCCGGTGATTTTCGGGTCGATCAAGGAAGAGATTATCAAGCTGATGGAGGATCGCCTCAGGGCATTTCGGAGTGACATGGTTGCCACTCAGTCAGGGACACACACACTCTCCTCCAAGGACTTCATGGGATGTGGTGCACCAGACTTCCACAGGGTGAAAGACCCCATTGTTGCAAGGAGATGGATTGCAGACATGGAGTCTGCTCAGTTGACGAGCTTCTGCCCTAAGGGGTCGAAGGTCCGGTATGTTGCAGGGTGTTTGAGGGACAGAGCTAGAGATTGGTGGGAGGCAGTTAGTGATTCGCTGGGAGCCCCAGCCATTGAGGCTATTGTTGGATAAGGTGTCTAAGTCCATAACTATTTATGGTATGTACTTGACCCGGTTGGCATGGTCCATTTGGGTTGCATGGCATTGCAATACTTGGATAGACCAAATGAGAGAAATGACACTTAAGGTTTATTAATATATTATAAGTTCTAATACATTAATAATATTATTAATTAGTATTGATCAAGAATTAATTTGGAATTAATTAAGTGATCAAAAAGAGACTAATTAAATATATGGGGTTGATTGTGTAAATCATCCATTCTTGTATAGTGGGCTAATGATCCATGGTTTAGTGAATTGGGCTAAAACTCATAAGGTTCTCCATGGATAGTCCATTGAGGTTATAAACCCATGGATCATAGAATATGGAAAGCCATGTCAATTAGGGTTTAGATGTTGTAACCCTACTTGTGACACAACTATAAAAGGACCCCTAGACTAGCAAAATCGGCACTGCTAAGTGAAGAACAAGAGGGCTAGCCGATTTTGAGTGATAAGTGTATTCTCTAAAGGTTATTCCAAGTGTTGTGGTGTTGTGTGAGACATTTGAGGCATCACACTTGAGGTGCTAGGCTCACAAGGTTCTCAAGGAATCAAAGCAACAAGAAAGGTATGTTTTTCTAATAAGTTCTTATGATTCAAGTTCCCCATGCCATGTTAGATAGGTTAAGAACCTTGGAAATCAAATTTGCATGTATCTTAGTAAAGCATAGATCCAAGGTTTCTAGGGTTGCATGTACACCTTAGGAGTGTTAAAATGCTCAAAACCCTTCAGTGCTATCAGAGCCTAGGCTTGTTTTCTTGATACTTGATGCAAATTGTTGAAAAAAGTCGAAAAATATGCAATCTGCTGAGTGAACTCGCCGAGTCCATGGGGGGACTCGACGAGTCCATGCCTAAAATCATCCTACTCGTCGAGTAGGTTCATGCACTCGACGAGTAGAATGCCTAGAGTGCATATTTTCGAGTTTTGCTGCTGGAAATGGACTAGAAACATTACCCTAAACTGTTTTGGTCTTATAAAACTTGTTTTAGATGGTGTAATGGTTATGCTAATCCATTTTCAATGGCTATTATCAAAATTTCAGTCTTGTATGGTTTATTTATGATTCTGAAATTGTTGATATGAATATTCATACACTTATGGATTTAGAAGATCATAGGAATCATTTGCAACTTGCTTGTTAGTTTAATTCTTGATCATTATGTGTTTTAATGGAATTCATAATTTGTCCTCAAGTTATGGATTACCAAAAGTCACTCTTTTAAAGTCCATTAAAGAAACACATAGGTTACATAAAATGAAAAGTCTCTCATTTTAATAAACCATTAACTCATAAGTTATGAAAGATGAAAAGTTTTGGAAGTTATAAAACTTGCCCTCAAGTTTTGGAACATGTAAAGTCACATTAAAACTTTAGTTCCAATCCCTAGAATTTTAAAAGTTAAAATTCAACCCTTATACTTTATAATATTATAAGTTAATATATATATAGTATATATATATATATAATATATATATATATATGTATAAGAACAAGTCGTTTTTTACCGTAGTAGGCCTCATTCACGAAGCCGTCTATAAGGGGGTATAAGGTGTTGCCTATAAAATGGCAGCTTAATGGGTGTCCACTCTCACCCACCGCTTCCTTGACTGGTGGAGGGTCGTTAGACGAACGGGTAGGACAATGAATTTAATCCTCATTAAAAGTATGATGATTATAAAGCAACTAAATGTTTTATAAATTCCCAATCTTAGTTACTTTAGGAAAATGTGAATAAGGTGCTAACCCATGAATTACACTTTGCACTTTGCTTAAGTCGTTAGTGGAGCGTTGTGGTTAACCGGCACACTAACCTGGACTTAACAAGGTAGGTAAAGGGTGGCTTAAGGTTTATCATATGTCGGTGGAGCGCGTGTGGTTAACCGACACATCGATTGAGTGATAAACCTTAAGAGTACCAAGTAATTTGCATGGTTACTTCACACCTTGTTTTGTGATCCTCGGCATCCCAGTCACAAAACTTGAAGGGCACACTCGAGATTGAAACATGCCATTGAAAAGTTCAAAGAATCTCAAAGAATCTAGGAGTTTCAAAACCAATTAAAACCTAATAATTTATTTCGTTTTTCATGGTGGAAATTGGTGAATCGTCATTCACCTACCTTCAAATATTTTATAGCTTGGATTACGGCATCCCTCTTCTATGTTATAAAATATTGTGTTGGGTCCTAGCCTTAATATTACATTTGGGTGTCTTATTAAGGACTATCTTTATATCTAATCTAAACTTGTCTTTCTTTTTTTCAGATGTCTTCAAACAATGCTGCTTCTGGCTCAAACCCTACCGACTCCTTCTCTCTCACGAACCTTTGTGGGAGAGTCATCTTTGATGGATCCAACTTTATGGATTGGATCAGGAACATCAGGATGGTCACTCATTATGAGGACAAAGAATATGTCCTCGACAAGGAGCTTAAGGAACTTGATGAGTCGTCTGCTACTCCTGAGGAGATCGCTGACTACTAGGCACATGAGAGAGATGCCACCAAAGTGACATGTATCATGTTGGCCACCATGACAAATGAGCTCCAAAAGTTTTATGAGGACTATTACCCTTTTGAGATGCACCAGGACTTGATGGACCACTACCATCAGAGTGCTCGTCAAGAGCGGTATGAAATAATCTCCTCCATGATAACAACCCGTATGAAGGATGGTGAACACATCATGGGCCATATGCAGAAAATGCAAAGGTATGTGGACCGT